TAAAAGCCTGCCAGTCACCCTGACAGGTGTGAGTGTGACTCATGAAGCCTTCCAGCTGATGCTGTCAGGTTTATATGATCTATACCTGAATTCGGGCAGCTCGGCGTCAAACTGCACGGCGCTCTGATGAACCACACGCAGCTCTCCATCGATGACCACCGCCTTCAGCTTCAGGAAGACACGAAGAGGAGCAGAGTAAAGACAGAGCTGCTGATTGGACGGGAAACCTGGGTTTAAAGTGCAGTGGAGGGGGCGCTGATGTCACATGTTAGGAGGAAACGTGAGCAGACTGTTTCAGGAAACCACGGACGAACCTTCATCTGAACCGGTGAAGCTCCGCAGGACTTTTACTTTGAAGGGACTGTTCCTGTTTCATTGTTTCATGAAGTGCTGATGAAGGTTTTAGTGGTTGTAAAGAAAAAGAATGATTTAGATAAGTGATGAATGAAGTGAAGAAGAGGATGGTGCAGCTGGAGGTGCTCGCTGTCTTTATACAACTATGATCTGATAATTGTTGTACTTCCTGCTGCTGTCTCGGACACATCTGTGTGAAAACTGACATTTTTACTGTCACAGACTTTTTAGGGATAAATGAAGGGAAATGACGTCATCCTGTTCACGCTGACAGGTTATCGGCCACGTCACTGACGGCAGCTTAAACACCTGAAATATCATTTTAGGCAAATATGGCTTTATGAGCTCAGATTCACTGATCAGCTTCTTTTCCTCTTATTGATTATTGGAAACGTATCGGACGTAAGCAGCTCTGTGACAGCTTCTGACGTCATCGACCTGTTTCAATCCGCGAGTGCACGCGGGTCAAACCTATCCGATCAGCTGGACTCTGAACGAGAGTACGGAGTCCAGCTGAGACAACAAATCAAACCTTCCGCCGTCTCCACGTTCTGCGCCTGCGCACTAAAGTCCGTTATTTTACCGCTACGTGCACGTGGACAGCATGTCACAGCAGACTCCGCGCAGGTGAAGGAGGGACAGGTGAGGTGCTGTTACCTGCTGCGTGCTCAAGTCCAGGCCCAGGTAGAGAGGAGCGCGCGGAGCGGAGGCCATGAGCGCGAGGAACCACACAGGAGGAGGAGGGGTCCAACGTTTAGTGACACAGCCCACAGGCTCCTCCTCCTCCTCAGCGCAGACTCCGTCTTTTAAAGGGACAGTTCACCCAAACCCTTTAGTTCACATCACAGGCCGACATGGTTCAACATGGCTCAGCCAATAGAGTGGGTTTATTTGTTGTTGTCAGTAGCAACGAGGCCTACGATGGTGCCAGAGTTGAATCAGCACTATGGGCAGACTTCACACAGTGACAGCGTGGAAATGGAATAAAGGTGAGTGTTATTAACCCTCTGAGGTCCATGGACACGCCTCCAGATCACATGATGGATTTAATCTGACACAGCAACGAGCTGCAGCCGCGCTGAGTCTGTGTTTTAACTCCTGTTGAAAGTTCAGACTTTAAACTACACACCAGTTTGTAAATGTTACTGGTCGGCCACTAAAACCAGAGTCATGATAAAAGAACAGACCCA